GCGTAAATCAAAATGAAAAGTCAATACAGAACATTCACTTATATTAACACGGTACATTGAGCCATACATTTACAAACTTTTCTTAGAGTTTAATAACCCTAACAAAAACACCACACATACCTATTATTAGAATATACTTTGAATATACAACACTGATTCGAAGCTCCTACATGTGGGTGCTCATTGAAGTGAGCGGTCAGGCCAAAACACATGCTTGGCACATGCCTCTCATTAAACGACCAATCAAGCTGTTGTGGTATGCTCTTTATTTGCTCATCCCCAAATGCTATTAAGGTGAAAGCAGAAATATTTCTATACCAATCTGAACTATCATTATCGTCCTGACATGTCATTCTGAAATGACATGCTGTCTCACCCCGGGGCTCTTCTGGTCTGGCACAAATGGTGCTATATTGAGAGACCTCATGTGCCCTATGAGGCAGAGATATCAAGCTGCCACCTTTGGCACATAGTGGACAGATGCAGAGATTGACGCATAGCATACCCTTGAGAAAAGCCTGACCTCAGATGACTGCTAACTCCATGGACCATTGGAATGACTCCATGCATTGTTCAGAGAGCCATTGTGGTCTGTTTATTCTCTAAAACAAAAGGATGAACACACAGTAAATAAGTCTCATTTGTACGTCTGCTTTGAATCAGCAATGATCAATATGCAAGTTCTGAATCACCCAGGGCAAAGTGAAACCAAAACAAGACTGAAGTGACTTTAAACTTTGGAGACAAATAGTTTACATTAGCCAAGGTCCTCACAATTGAGAGCCGTTCACCAATGGTATCATTTTCTGAACAGGGCATAGGCTTCAAGGGAATGTTTTAGGTGTTTAAGTCAGCATGAAATGAAATTTCCAAATGCATGTTGTTGATTTTATTGTGAACAGTTTAATGTTTTGACCTTAGTTCTTAAAGGGATAGTTCAATCAAACTTTTAAATTGTGTCATCAATTACTCACTTTCATGTTCTAATCCTGTATGGCTTTTGTTCATCTTTGAAACACAATATTTCTGTCCCTCCATTGAAAGTCTATTCACCCAAAATCCTGACACTTCAAAATGTTCATAAAGAGATTGTAAAATAAATCCAGTGAATCGAGCGGTTTAATTCAAGTCTTCTGAAGAGACATTATGGCTTTTTATGATGAACAGATTTAATTTAGGCTTGTATTCACACATAAACATTGATCAGCGAACATATATGGTAAACGGAAGCTCAATCGTATTGCTTGACGCACAAGAACAAACCTCATTAGTTCTTGCAATGGCTAAAATGTTCTGGCGTGACACGCATCAAAGGAATAGTTCACCCAAAAAGGAAAATTGTCATCATTTACTCACCCTCAAGTTGTTCCAAACCTGTATGAATTTCTTTCTTCTGCTGAAACACAAAAGAAGATATTTTGAAGAATATAAACAGTTGCTGGGCCCCATTGACTTCCATAGTATAGAAAAAAAATAATTATGGTCGTCAATGGCTACCGTCAACTGTCTAGTTACCAACCTTCTTTAAAATATCTTCTTTTGTGTTTACCAGAAGAAATAAATTCATGTTTGGAACATCATAAGGGTGAGTAAATGACAGAATTTTCATTTTTGGGTGACCTATCCCTTCAAGCAAGTGTGAGCTTCCGTTTTTCCTCCACATGGACTTCTCAATTTGCGAAAAGAAAAGAAACAAAAGGCTCCTTTTAAGTACTATTTTTACTGTAGTAAAAGTTGCTGAACTTCAAATCACTAACATATTTATCAGTGCAAGTTTTTACTTTTGGCAGTTGTTGAATGCTTATTTTAGTTCCAGCCATCAATACATTTATATTGTACATACAGTAATAGTAAGATGTCAGTACGGTATAAATCACCAACCTAATAACAAGTAAAGAGTAATAATAAGGTTCACGTTGTGACAGATTGTGCCAGTTGTTTGTGTGGCATTACACCAGATGTACAGATACATTTCATTTCAACAGATTACATTTCATGGAGTTCCGAGCATGGTTTGGAAGAGGCACTATAGGCTAGTGAAAACGTTTCTGTCCTGAGGTGACCCACATGATGTTATTTTCAGTCTAAACGTATTTAGCACTTACCCATGGAGCTCATTCTACTTGGCAGTAAAATTTCTTGCTCATTGGCAGCATCTGCTATCTGTCCCAATAACTGAGGACCTTGTGTACATCTGTGTCACTGCAGTAGATAAAAAGACTGCCAAGTTTGCCCAAATTGTTATGCCCATAGTTGATGGTTACCATCAAATTAGTACAAATTATTGAACTAGCCAATCATAGGAAAATACTTTTGCAAACTAAGCTAATGCTTATGATGCAATGCAATCTAATCCTTGAGGAGTCTTGAATATATCCACAGTAAATCCCTCTACAAAAATGAATCTTTTTCATTAGAACACCACATAACATTAGGAAATGGTCTCTAAAGCAGATAATAAGATTTGTGTATATGAGGTGTCAATCATTTCCAACAATGTTGGAAACTTTAATCGGTCTTAAGTAAAGAACATCTCTTTTAAAGAGTTCAAAGTTTAGAGTTCACATGACATGACTATTGAATGAAGCCTTGAGTAGTTTAGAGACCATGACACAAGCAAAATGTCGGATAAATCTGAATTCTGCGATTTCTTTTGTTGTTTAATTAACGTTAATAACACAGACAATAGCAGGTTTATGAGGCTGCTGTCACTTTAAGACCGAATGTTGTTTAGAAAAATTTTGTATTTCTAAATGAAAGTGAAATGTATTCACATGATAAATACTAAATACTTGTACTTAGTACATCTGACAATAACGATTTTGAGGTATAGTTCACCAAAAATATAAATTTTCATGAGATTACCCTCATGTTGTTTTAAACCCTTATGACTTGGGTTGGGTATCCTTTGAATTTTATCGATTCATAGTTTTGATTCCAAAAAGGTAAAAAAAAAAATAATATCGATATCATTCACATTCATTCAGTTTTTTTGCAAAACATTTTGTTGCAGCTGAATACCATGAACAAAAATCAACAGGCTAAAGAAGACTTACACGAGGAGCTTTTGCCTATGGTTTTAACAAAAACAAAAACACAGCAAAAACTAGCCTAACTAATCAAGCATTATTAAAGACAAGTAAACACTCACTAATTAAATAAGAACAAATAAATCCATTAGCAATTGCACACAACTGAACAAAGATAAAATTAAATAAACAGTGATTCAAGTAGGTCTAGTATTCCAACGCTATCTCACGACCAATTCGTACGAATTCGTACGAGTGATTAAAAGGTGGCTAATTCGTACTAATTCATACGACCTCACTCGTACGAATTCGTACGATTTGTCTAAACCCACGTGATGAGTAGGTTTAGGGGCGGGGTCAGGGGCAGGTCATTCGTACGAATTCATACGAATTTGGTAACTCGTAAAATATGTACGAATTAGCAAAAATCGTACGAATTTGTACGAGTGAGGTCGTATGAATAAGTACGAATTAGCCACCTCGTAAAATTCGTACGAATTGCCGTGAGATCGGGCTGAGTATTAAGCTACAGAAACTGTAATCAAATGAAAAGTAACACTGCACTTTATAAATAAAATATAAATTACAAATATAGTTACAAACGTTATTCAGTCAAGATCAGTAGTGAATTTTCTCAGTCTTTTGTTGTTTGATTAACGTTAATTACACAGACAGCAGTTGGTTTATTAGGCTGCTGTCACTTTAAGACTGAATGCACGGATCCTATTCGGTTGTTAAGTCTGACGTCACGTGTGACGTTTAGCCTCTTCCGGGCCCAAGCGCTCCGCTCGTCCACTCCAGATCCTAGACTAAATAAACCCTTTTCTTAAGGGCTTTTTTCGCTTCAGTGCCAGTGGGTGTTACTAGGGATTAAGGGATAGCACCCACTGGCGCCAAAGTTTCTTCATTCGTTTAAGATTTGTAACTTACCTTATCAACTGCAGCCATTTTCTCTTATCTTTCTCGTCACAGGGAAAGCGGTAGAATGACAGTTGAATGTCACTTGTTTTTTAACTCCGATCTATTTAAACAACACGGGAACACGTTAAAACTCGGGCGAAAGCGGTAGGTAGGTAGAGAGGACCCGGCCTTTGGACCCGGAAACAGTATTATCGGAGAGTGGTTACGTCACGACTTAACAACCGGATACACTGTTACACGGATCCTATACACTGTTACACGGGCGTTTTTCTTTCAGACTGTGTTTATGAGGATATTTTGACATAATTTTGTGTGTATTTGTCCTTACTTATGACTGTCTTTATTCTGTAAAAAATTACGTGAAATAATTTACTGAATATCAGGTTGGGTGAATTCAAAAGAATGGAAGTACATTATGACTCATATTAACACTTTACAATGCTGCCAAGAGTGTCAGCAGAAGTTTCCACACGGATAGCAGCCTAATTTTCAAGAGTAATTTACCATGAGTCACGATTTTCCAAGAGAACCTTACCATAAGCCATTGTATTAAATTCATTTAACCAGCTATTTATTCAGTTACCTTATGTTGTGGTCTGCCGAAGAAGAAAACTCAAACAAGTTGACATGAAGGTAAGTAAATTACAGAATTTTTGTGCAAACTATCACTTTAATTTGCTTCAAATTTACCCACCTCAATGCTTAAAAAACAGCTAAATGTAATGGACAAGTTGACACTTTCCTGGAATGGAACATGGAAAGTATATTGAAATTGAAATCTATTTACAATTGCATTTTCTGGATAAAAAACCCAAAAGCTTATAGCTAAAAGCCAAACGCTTGTCACATTTTTCGTTGTGTGAACAATGAAAAAAAACATTGTTCCAAAGTAATGTGACTTTTTGCACTCATTCTGAAGGCCATAGAGATAAGTTGTTTTGTTTTTAAAAATCTTGTATCTGTATCTTGAAATTCAAATATGAATTTGAAAATTCATGTTTGGTGTGAAAAGGCTCAAAACTATATATTTTTTTTCACAAGCCACCAATTTCTAAGGTTCAGTCCATTTAAGACACTGTCAATTCTTTCCTCTCCTTTGGAATCCTGAGTAGAAAAGTCCACACAGATCCATTCCTAGGAAAACCCTTCATCTCTTTACAAGGTTTCCACATGTTCCCTGCAACAGTGTACTCCAGAGTCATGGTGCGGTTCAGCGTGAACACAGAGTCTCCTCTCACTACTGCTGTAAACAGGGACCCTTTGCTGTTGCCATAGTGCCCAGGCATCGATGTCCACTGGCCTGTGGTGATGTTGTAGCAGTCTATCAAACAGCGCAGGAAGTCGTCTTGGGGGCCGTTGCGTATGACGTAGAGGTTGTCCCTGTGGGCCACCATGCAGTGTCCATAGCTCTGGTGCTTCAGAAGTGTACTCACCAGAACCCACACATCCTGGTTTGGGATGTATTCAAAGATTTCATTAGTCTCCATCGGCTTCCACAGACATACAAAAATTCGTCCCATGGCTTTGGTGCATGCGACACCTGCTACCGGTCGAGGTAAATCTGCGGCGAATGTCCAATCCTTTGTGGTGATGTTATATATCTCAACGGAGGACATGATGGTTCTCCGAGACTCTCCTCCGATGGCATAGAGGCAGCCTTCTATCCCAATTAGGGTGAAGTTGTACCGTGGCTGTCTGGGACCTGGCAGCCAACTCCAGGTGTTGGTGACAACATCATAGCAAAAGCTAGCATCAACGGCCCTCTTGTCAACGCCATGCACACCTCCAACAATGTAGAGTCGGTTGTCCAAAACAGTCAAACCAGCCAGAGAGGTGCTGGCCTCCATGGGCAAGGCAGTGAGGACCTTCCAGTCCTCATCATCCTCATTGAGGTAACATACTGTCCTTGTGGCAGCAAGAGGAAGCTCATCCGCAGTGCAAGTTGAATGTGAACCTACAGCCACGAACACACTAGGAACCAGAGACTCTACATATTCAGTCAGCTCCTGAGGAAGGTTCTTCAAATTCTCTTGCAGGTCACGGTACATATTGCGGATGAACTGTGCCGACATCTCATGGAGTCCCCATAAGCCATAGGTGGCCGAAGCTTGATACATGAGAAGGCAGTTGTCGGAGTTGAGCAGATCTTGAAGATGCCTGGAAAGAGGTTCAGCTTGAAAGAAAGCAGCACATTCAATGGCTTCCAAAATCTCGTCACCATTTAGAATGGGTCTCTCACCACTGGCCACGGCCAACATGATTACGAACCCTTGAGCTTTGAGATTCCTCACGTGAATCTCTTCTTGATGGCACTCTACCATCCCCGATCTGTAAAGTGCCCTGAAGTATTCGGACTCTCTTAACAGTAGAGACTTGTTTGTTTCAAAGACACAATCCCCAACTCTTACCTTGACCATATCCATGTCTAGCAGCCTACTTGATTAAAGTGCTATTAGGCTACAAATACTCACTGTTGTTTAAACCCAATTGTAAGACTTTTAGCCTTTGCTTGCACTTTGAGCAATTGTATCTTCCAAAACTCTACCTTAGCCTCGCGTGTCAGTTAACAAAACTGCCCCCCCTCCCCCTCCAGCTGGCACATGGTGTGTTGGGATTTAGTTTTGTTACTAAGATAGCACTTCCTATAGATAGTAGCAGTGCCTCATGACATGACATTAAACAGAAATGGGCAATGACTTGAGAGAGGAACAACACACTCATAACACTTTTTAAGGTCAATGATATGAATTACACTGCATCTGCATCCTCATTTATTGTGATGATTGGTTGTTTGTTCATGCTGTCATGCTGTTTGTTAAGTGTCATTGTATCCAACAATTCAATTAATAGACTTGCTAGACTTTTATATTAAGGGGTATTTAGTGTGTCTTGCAAATGGGTTTCTAAACAGTAAAATAAATCCATATATTTCAACTTAAAGCAACACTAAAGAACTTTTCCTCTTCGGTCGCCCTACAGGTTGGAAGCGGAATTGTCCATTACCGCTGTCGTAAACAATTTAACCGCTCTGGCTTTGGAATGAACGATGTCCACAGACAAGGTAGAGTATGTTGCATGATTTCATGAAAGTATGATGTATTGCGACATCAGAAACAAAGAAAATTACTATTGTAACGCTTGACATAAAGCAAGTCAAATTTGTAGTTCAGTTGCTACCTTGAATTAGGTACAATCAAATTGGCTGAACAAGTCACTTCAACTTAATTTATTTTAAACTGACTTAAAAATCGAGTTAAAAGTAAAAGTTTTCATAAAAGTTGAACGTAATTTAAAAACATGTTGCAGTGACTTATCTATCATATCCTTTTTATAGTGTCAAGACATCAGACAGACGATAAAACAGAAGTAAATCCCAATGTAAATCCCATCGATTTACGGCGAAGAAGGGACCTGTGCCGTATCAAGGGAATAGCATAACCCATATGTCCATCCATTTTAATCCAGATTTTGGGATGGTGCATAAAAATTCAAGATGCACATAAAACTCCAAAATGCATGCCAAAAAAACTTATTTTTTCATAAATTTTATTTAGTAAAAAGACAAAATACGATGTAAACTAAACATGTTTAAACTAGTGCTGTCAAATTGACTAATTGCGATTAATTACAACAAGTATGTATGTATGTATATAGATATATATTTATATATATATATATATATATATATAATCTTAAATTAAGTTACCTGGTTGCCTTAATTTTGAGTTCATTGAAATTAAAAATTTGAGTTAATACAACAAAGGAGATTGGTTTAATAAAAAGAAACTCAAAATATTATGTTATCTGAACCACATTAACTTTCTAAGTTGATTTGACAAAAAAGTTGCAATAACAAATCATGAAAATATTTTACAGTGTATAAATATATATAGATATGTATGTGTTTATGTATTTACACTTAAAATCGTTTTGACAGCACTAGTTGATTTCTTTGATGCACCTCAAATGAGTCATGTGACTTTGCCTCAACAAGTCATGTGACTAAAGGATTTGCTTAGATGATTGGCTACTACTGAACACCCTAGCAACCACATAAAAACACCCTTGCAACTAAACAGAACACCAGGCATACCAATGCCTTGGTAACTACCCAGAACACCCAAACAACCACATAGAAACACCCTAGAAACAATCAAAAACACCCTAGCAACAATCAAAAACACCCTAGCAACCTCATAGCAGCTACATCGAACACTCTAGTAACAACCATCCAGAACACATTGGCAAGAACCTACCAATGCCCTAGCAACCACAAAAGAGCACCCTAGCAAACACACTTTTTAAAAATTCAAGTTTAGTTTACTTTGCTAGCGTGACTCCATCCTGAACTCTTCATCAGAACAGTTCAACATTAATGCTTTGTGGAGGTTTACCTCTCTATTAGAGTAGATCAGACACAGCAGAATACATCCCAACATGGGTCCACTCTCTGCTCTAATAAAAGGTAATTAACCCTCCTGCAGTGCAAGTTATGAGGTAATTGCAGGTCAGTGGACATGCTGAGGGCTTTCATATCTCTGTAAGAGATCAACCTTGGTTACCTAGAGTGCTCAGATTCATTATCTCCACACACCTAGACACAGCGGGTGCCCTCACGGCGTTACTATGGAAACCGTACCGGTGGAGTCCGCCTTGTCTGTCTTGAGTGTCAAGAATCCAACCCCAGTCTGCCTAAATGCTTATAGCACTAATAGAGTCAGCATGACTGTTGAACTTTGACACACACACGTGACACTGAGTATAACCGCAATCACGTGTCTTAGCCCTTGACAGCTGCTTATAATGTGAATTTGTGCTTTAAATGGCCACACGTGATGAGGACAGTGGAGACTCTTGACCTACGTGACCTCGGTTACTGATTCAACTATTGGTGATAGAAGTGATTTATATAATGGACCAGCTTGGCTGCAAGAAGACACGGTTAGTAAAAATTTGTCTAAAATTAACCACACATGCATGAACTAATGTGCCCCTGTGAGCTAAAAGCATGATACCAAATTTGTAAACAAAGGGAACAGCTTGATTTCGAACCATAACAAGTGAAAAGGTCAGCATGTGTTTATGTTCCCCGTGCTGAGTCATGGTGAGCCATGTGCTGGACCATGTGATCTCTTTGTTTTGATCATGTGATGGCAAATCCTGCGGGAGCGGGGCTAGGTAACAGGTTTCAGGCAGGATTGTGTTCAGTGGTGTAACTCATTGTGTAAGTTGGCTATTATAAAAGCTGGCAGTGACTTCACTGGAAAGATCCAGAAAATTCCAATTCTGCTGTTTATTCCCCTTTTCTCTCAGTGGAATCACACAAGAATTTTTTTTAAAGTTAAATTGAACACTTAAAGGGATATTTTACCCAAAAATGAAAATGTTGTCATCATTTACTCATCCTCGTGTTGTTCAATCAAAACCTGTATGAGTTTCTTTCTTCTGCTGAATGTTGGTAACCAGACAATTGACGGTAGCCATTGACTTCCATAGTATTTTTTTCCTACTATGGAAGTCACTGGGGTCCATCAACTGTCTGGTTGCCAACATTCTTCAAAATATCTTCTTTTGTGTTCAACAGAAGAAAGAAACCCATAAGGGTTTGGAACAACTTGAGGGTGAGTAATTAATGATTTTCATTTTTGGATGAACTATCTTTTTAAGATAATTTGAAGAATGTGCTGGCTGCACTTATCCATGCATTTACAAAGAACAATGAACTTTCAAGCTTTAAAAAGAACACAAAAGCTTCATACAAGTTTTTGGAAGCCATATAATATATTCTTGCAGTTTTCAGAAGGAAGAGCTTCATCGAGACCAGAACTAGACAGAGCGTTACTGACAGACCGGGAAGAGAGGTGCTGCAACAATGTAAAATATGTAAAAAAAAAAAAAAAAAATTGTTTTTTTCTACATTCAAGCATGAAAACTGAACCCAGAAACTAAATCAAGACTTTGTAAAAGGACATAATATGGCCTCTTTAAGTGTGCAGCAGTGAACTATATTTAGAGTAGTGTTACTATGAAATCTCTCACTAACACTGTGTTTCATCTAATAAATTAAAAAGCGAGGAAGGCAACCTAAAGAAAGGGAGCTTGAAATATCTTTTTTGTGTGGGTTACAATAGCTAAGTCAGGCATCTCATCAAATCCTATAATTTTATCTGAGAGTGGAGGAAGTGAATGGAAGAGTAGGAGTGAATTGAGAGAAGTGCGTCTGACTTCTTCAGAGAAAGAGAAAGGGTGAAAAGGTCCAATCGAGTGTGTTGTGCAACCGGCTTGATATTATCAAAGCACATTGACTGAACTACAAAAAAAAATAAGATCAAAGAGCACCCAAAAACTCCCCTCAATCAAAAACAAATCGATCACAATTAGAAACCACATCTACTACGGCGTAAAAGAAAGAAGCATACACATCCAAAGAAAGCACAAGCTTAGAGCACTTTAAAGGAAGTGTGTGGGAGGATATAAAGATAGAAGGTGAAACCGTCTATCAATAGGAGAGATCGTGTGTTGTTGTTCCCTACCAAAACACATGCTGGGACCTCTGCAGGACCAAACCACATCAAGCCCTTTGCTTCCCAGCTGCATAAAGGAGTTCGTGACTTCCACAGCCCACTACAAAGAGGGTAGAATGAATGCTCTGCCAACGGTAAAGGAGATGTTTACATTCAGCAAGACCTACAAAGCACACTTGGCAGGGCGATCGACACATGACGGCATGTGTTTCTGGCATTCCGTATGAGTAACTTTGCCACCTGCTTCTCTCTGAGTTCAGCAGGTGACCTCTGAATGAATTTTAAGCTGCCCAAATACTCAGATCTATGAGCTCCTAGTCAAAACAGCATGTGTCACCCTCTTTACATAACGTTTTTATGGATAAATATTATTTATGCAAGGTTCTTCAGAGGGTTGACTATCTGTTCCATATTCTAATTTTGCTCATTTGTGAAATTACACCCCTTATTTGCTCAAGAGTTAATCGTTCTAGCCTTTTAATTAATGAACAAAGCCACAATCATGGATCCTTGATGACTGTGCTAATTTGTCCATTGATTAGCTGAGGAACTAAACAGTGGGGTCGCTTTTTAATTGCCATCTGCTTAACTAGCGTTTTGGGGTGACAAGCAGATGACAGTGGGAGACGCCATCGGGGTCTTCACAACAGTGGCCAAAAATCCATGCCCACCTCCCTCCCACCACCAAAGAATGGTTTCTATAAATACATCACATAAACAAAATGAGGAAAGTTATGTAACATATAAAATATATAAACATTTTATGTTTAATTTAAATACATAAAGAAATAAAATGATAAAACAAATTTTCTTTATTAAATGTAAAATAAATACAATTCTAATTATATTGCCAGAACTTACATGCTTAAATAATAAAAATTAGTTTTCTTTTCAAATGTAATATAAATATATATATATT